TATTTTCCCATTGAATTTCAATCTAGTTTTTTCACGGTTTATTGGCAATGTGCGAATGGAGCTCAAAGCTTCATAAGAAAAACGAAGGGCTGGCAATATTTAAAGGAATAAATATATAGATAGATTTATATCTTTTGTTGCTTTTTACTTTTCCCTTTGGTTTTTAAAATCAGTTTCTTTCGAAGCGCTGGTGCTTAAAGTCTATAAATTTCTCCGGTTGAATGGATTTGCTTTATATCAGTAAAGATATCAATCATTTTGACTGTATTACGCTTTTCAAATAAAGTTTAAATTTACGATGAAAAATATGAAAGAAAGTTATTATATCTGATTGCTATAAAATACTAGAAGGCTTTGTCCAATGCTCGCTTCGCACATCAAAAAAAAAATTTTTTTTGTCTTCGCTCACAAAAAAAAAAAAAAAAAAAAAAAAAAAAAAAAAAAAAAAAAAAAAAAAAAAAAAAAAAAATAANAAAAAAAAAAAAAACTTGAAAATTTAAAAAAAATTTTTTTTTTTGTTAAATTTTTAGTTTTCTATTTTTTTATTAAATGTGCAGTAATAAGAACTGTAATTCTGACAACCAAAGTTTCCAGTAAACCTCTACTATATGAACTGAAAAATTACTAAATGAATGGTTTAATTACCGTATATTTTGGTTTCATTGACCAGAATTATGACTTTTTTTTAATCAGTAATGTCATTACCGTATAGTAATTTTCCAAGAATTTTTTTTCTGTACATGTAAACAGATTAATGACATGAATAATTGTAGGATACCCGAACATTTATCTTATTTTTCTGAAAGTCAAACAGCTTTTATTCGATCACTGCCTTCAAAATTAAGTTAATATTTACCATAAATAAATAATCATGTCTTAACCTAATTTAAACTTAATATTGTAGATACCAACGAAGTTTATAGTTTTGTGCTTTGTCTCTTTCTCCTGAAAAACAACTATTTTTTATCACCTGATGAAAACACTGGCTTTGAGATGAGCTGGACATTTTTATGAATATAAAAAATAGTGCAGTTTATGCAGTCTATATGCAGTTTAAACTAATTATTAAAGATATGATTAATATAAAGATATTAATAATAATTGTACATATTTTTTGAAAATCAACTTTTTTATTCACTGATAAAGTGGCTTCTTTTAAAATTAAGTACAGAATGGGGAATAAAAAACATAATATTATGCCATTTTAACTAATTAATACTTAATGGGGTTGATATCGTGTTATATATATTTTACGAAAAACTATTTCTTTTTATCCACTGATTAAAGTCATTGATTTTAAAAGGAATGTAAATCCTACAATGACAATTTTAGTGGGTTAAAGTCATTGATTTTGAAATGAATTTAAAACCCAACAATGACTATTTTAGTGGGTTAAGGTCATTGATTAGGAAATGAATGTAAAACCTACAATGATTAGTTTATTGGGTCGATAAGTAATTAAAATAATTATTACAGATATTGTTTAATTTGATATCGGTAAATTTCGTGTTACATATCTTTTCTGAAAAACAAATTCCTTTCATATTTTGATAAATGTCCTACACTGTAATTATTATTTTAAATATATTTACCTACAGAATATTTTGAATTCATCTCACTCTAAAAAAAATCTGGATCAAATTACGGTTAGAAATACTGGCACTTTGGATGCTGGTACATTTTACCGTAAAATCCATTTTAACCAGAGCAAGTTACGGAACAAAAAAAAATCGAATATACCGTAATTTTTTCAGGAATAATTACCGCAAAATTACTGAATCATACTGATTAAATAAATATTACCGTAAAATTTACGGTGTAGTATTTTACGGTAAAAATTGATTTTACGGGTGATGCACCCAAAGTGCCCGTACTTTATGTCATAATTTGATAAGGAATTTTTTACAGTGTGCTTCTTAACTTTAATTTTAAAAACGTTATAAACATTCTAAGAATTTTTTTTTTTACTCACTGTTCTATTATGAGTCATTATAATGCTAGAAATTGATAAGAAACCGGTATATTTTGCCCATATTTAAAAAAAAAAATGAAAACGTGCTTTATCTGCTTCACAAAAAGTTTTTGTATGAAACAAAACCATCCAAGATGGATTATTATCAGTATTAGCTAAATGATGGATAGATCAGAATTCATTTTTACCTCTCAAATGCTAACAGTATTGAATCCCAATTATATACCAGACGGATCGATGCTGTTGTAGTATTATGAACCCAACAACTCCTACTTCATCAACGCCGCTTAGATCGGGGGTATATATCAGGGTCATTACCGTTGCCCTCCTGCTTTCTATCGATTGAGTGAGTTTGTACAAGGCAGGATGAGCGTGTCTTGCACGCTGTTGAAACAGATTAATCTGACTATATATTCCAGTGTTCAACCAGATAATAATTGTGCTCATCTCACGGCCATCATTTCTGCTGTTTAAATCGGTGTAAATAGGGAAGTGAAATTCAAGTAGGATGATAACTGTCAAGAAAGATTATAGTATAGGTGCAGTTATAATTTTGGAATTAGTTAGATGTTTATCGTATTAGAGAATTGACGTTTGTAATTGTTTTCAGTTTGACAATTGATTTTTAGAATTGTTTTCAGTTAAAGAATTATCATTAAAAGCTATTTTTCAATTATGGTATCGACAAAATACCTGTTTTCAGTCAGATAATAGACGTTAGAAATTGTTTTCCGATGGAGAATTCGCATTAAAATTGTTTTTCCTTTAGGAGTTCACTTTAAAAATTGTTTTTAGTTAAGGAATTGACGTTAAAAATTGTTTTTAGTTAGAGCATCGGCATTAATAGTGTTTACAATAAAATTGAACTAATTGACTTTTGTGAATAAGTGAAAAATGTTTTAAAATAGTATTTCAGTAAATATGAGAAAAATAACATTAAAATACATTGGGAATACTAGAAATACTGAGATAAATAATATATTTCTACAAAATATATTCTATACAAATATGAATTGAAAAAATACCACATGAATGGTTTAAACACTGTATAGTTTGGTTTTATCAACCAGAATTAAAACTTTTTTTTAACAGAAATGTTGTTGCTATACTATAAGGTAATTTTACAGGAACTTTCTTTTTTCGTGTTTACATTAAAGATGTAAGATTTCATATAAATATTAAATTTGCATGTAATGTGATGCAGATAAGAAGAAACTGTAAATAGTAAAAAATGCAAAAATACAAGTAAAAAAAAGGCAATATATGGTTAATGTCTATGTAATGAAATTTAATGAACTTTTACTCATTGTGTTTGGAAAGGAGATGTGACCGATATTTCTCAACAAATAATAACAATTTCAGTTTCTTTCACTAAACTATTAATTACAACGGGATATTAGATTATGCTAATATTAATGTTGACAAATGAAAAGAAATTTTTTTCACTCCCACATATTAAAAAGAAAATTATATTTATTAATTATGCAGAGTTTACAATTCAACTAATCAACAGCTGTCTCCAAACTAAGCAATATACTTAAAACTTTATTTGTTTTTGAAATTTAATGTAATCAAGGAACATCTTGTTTCTCAAACAAAATAAGAACTTTTTTTGAAAATGAATTTCAAAACTGCAAATGCACAAAGAAACTGATTAATATCTGACAGACATTTTGTGCAAGCTTTCGTTGACATAAACTACTCTTATTCGTAGGTGAGAATGGATTTATTTTCTAAGACTTAAAAAAAAAAAGAAAAAAAATGTTTTCCTTTACAGGGAGAAGTTTCATTTTTATCTATTTTTTTAATGATAGCATTTATAATTTTAATAAAAATTACGTTCAAATTAGTTTCTAATCTGTACATAACTGACAATCTTTTTTTAATTCAAGACCTGTCTCGATATATCCGATTTCAATAAGAAAAAAATGAAAATCGAAGCAAGTATATATGCCTAGCAGACTTTTAAAATCTCTTTCTAATTTATAACTTGAGAATGAATTCGGATTAGAAAGGATTCTTTAATAAGAAAATGACTTATTTGAATTTTTTGTTGTTGTACGATATAACACATATTAAGATATTTATTTTGTTTTTGTTTATTCTATAACAATATATTTTAAGTTGTGCGAATGATCTTTTTACCTTATTTTCTATAGAATTATGCAGTTATGCAACATGTAGACGTCATGCAACTACAGTTTTTAATTAAATTAAAATTAAAATTAACTATATATAATTTAGTTTGAATGATTTTTCTTTATATTTCCCAAGTATTATTGTAAATGTTAAAATAAAATCTAGCTTAGTTTTTATTTGAGCTAGAATATTAACGATAATACAAATTATTGAACTGAGAAAAAATATGGTGAATATTTTCAGAATATGGCGAAATTTACCGTGTTTCTGGCTCTAAAGGGATATAAAAAAGATCGGAATTTTTTACCGAAGCGCCTTTGATAACGATTTTGATAAAATTAACAATAAAATATGGTTTTATGATATGTGACAAAATTTGGGGAATGTGGTAAAAGTCGCTATTTAAAACATGATAGCTTAGAGCATGGCATCAAATCCATTAATTTGATTAAACTTACTTTTCAGTTATGTATTTTTTTCTAAAGGTTTGTTAAAAGAAATATGCTTCTGAAAATCAAAACTTCCAGTAAACTGCTACCACGTGAACAGAAAAATAACCAAATGAAATTGTTTAAATGACGTATATTTTAGTTGTAACCAGAATTATATATAAGTATTTTACGGTAAAAATNATATATATATATATATACTGTCATTTATTAAGCACATTAATTTATACGGCGTATTCTTAAGTGCTTGAAATGGTCTTTTTGAAAAAGAAATACTGTCATTCTCCCTAAAAATAAAAAAGGTAATTCTTTTTCGAATCCTACAGAAAAATGCCTGTACACGTTTACACTATGATGCATCATCTAAATTTTGATTAAACAATACATATTTGAAGTTAGAGTTAATACTTTAGATATGAAAAAAATCATATAATTTCTACCTGTGAATCTTTAAGTCCTAATTTTTCTGCCAGTTTTTTCCTATCCGGCTTGCTAATATATTTTTGTATTTGAAATCTTTTTTCTAAGCCTTGTCTTTGAGCGTCGCTGAATACAGCCCTCCTCATCATTCCCCGACGGGGCTTTCCTCTTGCGGCCGCAGCCCAGGGAAATGTCGCCGGGAGGGGGAACGTCACCCCCGATGTTGGAGAAATGCCGGCTAATCCATTCATTCCAACAGAGTTGAAGCCTATTCCAGCCACTGTCACACCCGGTATATTAGCATTTGGACCTAAAATATACAAAGTATACATAATTAACATTACTAAATTAACGTGATTCATTCATGAATAAACGTGATTAATTCGTGAACTAACGTGAATCAATCATGAATAAACGTGATTAATTCACGAATAAACGCGATATATTCATGAATTAACGCGATTTATTGATTTATTCATGAATTAACGTGATTCCTTCATTCTAAGGAATCCGACAGGGTGAAAATCGGTGATTTCGATGAAAATTCCTGTATCTTTTTTTTTATTGCATATACTTTGTTTATTAGCTTTCTAATTCTTCTTAAATTATTGTTCTTCGATCTTTAGAATAGAAGTTAACGTTGTTTTTTTCGCTTGCTGGTAAACGAAACAGAATAGCAATTACCATATATACAGACATACATACAGATTAGCAATTACCATAGCATATACACTTTAAAAAATTCCGGATCAAATTACGTAAAAAGTACCGGTACTCAGGCTGCCGATTCTTTTTACGAAAATATTACAAAGCAAAAAATCTGAAATAACCGTAATTGTATCAGTAAAAATTAACGTAAAATCACTGAATCACTCTAATTAAATATAGATTTCTGTTAAAATTACTGTATAATATTATACGGTAAAAATAGATTTTACGGATGATGCACCGAAACTGATACACACAAAGTGCCGTAATTATATCTGGAATTCTTTATAGCGTATGTTGATAATGCGCTTTTGTCAATAAAAGCATAAGCTTTGTAATTTTATACTAACGCTTCATATTATAACAACATAGACTTAATGAGTCTATGTTAAAGTTTCAACTTAGCACTTTAACATAAAATAATGTTCTCATGTAATTGATATTATGTTAGTTTTGAAGCTTCATTTGCTGCAAATAATATGCAATTTGAAAATTTGCACAGAGAAATATGCAGTAAGGAAGCATAATTCCCCCCCCCATATAAATCAGCTACTATGATCTACACTGAACACAACAGCTTCGATTGATAAACTGTTATAATATTTAGCTTAAATAGGCATTGAAAAAACTATTTATTTCAAAACATATTCTTCAAAAAAATAGTTCCACTATCGTTTTTTAAAACTCTCTAATTGGAGGTATTTTTATTAATGACTGAGTGAATAATTTCGTTAAAATTTCTGAAAAAAAAAAGATATTATTTTAATTCTCGCCATCGTTGAAGTTGAGCTCATTATTCCGTAAGAAACGTAATAGTTTTTAATTTCTTTTTTTTCCTTCCCTTGGTTTGAAAGAGAGTTAAAAAAAAATTATGTTGAAATACTGAAACAGCCGAATGAATTTGGAGTAATAATTATTTCGGTAATTAACTCGAAAATGAGACCTTTCAACATCAACTCTTTTTTAAAAGTACCTCTTTTTTGTGAATTAAAACATTTGTTTCTTTTTGGACAAGAAACTCATTAGAATCGAATGTTTTTGTATGAAAGTGATAATTATTTCGTTTTTGCTTTTGAAAAAGAACTATAAATGGAGTTAAAAATAGTAATAATTGTTATTAGCAACTTGTACTGGTGAGCATATTTGAAGACAAGTGGTATAATAGTAAATATGACTTAATTTATTCTTTCATGTTTTCTGGAATATAGAGGAAGGAACGAAAAAGAAACTAGAGGAAGGAAAAAGAAACTTCTTTTATTAATTGATTTAGATACTAAGTAAATCATTTATTAATAATTTAGATACTAGACTAATTGGATTTTTTTAAATTTGGCACTAAATATATGTATTTATCTTTAGAAATGCGTGTAAAGTTCCTAAAATTATAATAATATTAAAATTAAAAATGATAAGAATAATGTTGCTTCCTGAGAAATATTTGATTCAAGTGATCACAATTTTAGCCATTATATATAAAAGCCCAACTTAGCTATACATAAGCATAGTTGATAATCAAAGTTACCAAATCAGACGAAGAGTGACTTTTTCTCAGGTGAAAAATGCCCTGAGCTGTCAATGGAAGGAATGAAGTACGATTTTCTGTAGCGGCTCAGGCCCATCCAGCTTCAAATTGATGGATACCAGTTTGTATGGGAAGTAAAAGTGGGTTGCGTGCCGGCTCAGGCCAACATCTACTAGAAGTGGTTATGGTTGTGTGCATTGCTGACCAGATTTTATAGCCGCAGTTGAAAAGCAGATTCAATTTTAAATTTATGACTACCAATGCTCAACTCTGTAACCTTGTAATTTTGAACCCAATCTAGAAGGCAAGGAAACGCCAGGATCAAGTATTTGGTAGAAATTTACTTTTGTGCAGGACTTTTTGATGGAATCAACCCGCATTTGCGTTGCATAAAGAAAGACCATGAAAACCTCCATGAATAGTCTGACGGCAAGGGGATTCTTACCCATGATCCGTCTATTTTGGGGGATATCTTTATGTCAGCACTGTGGTTGATGCGAGTCGGATGCGGCATTCGAATCAATCAGTCGTCGCTGGGATTTGAACCCTGTTCATTTCATTGAGAGGAGAGCGCTCTATCACCTGAGCCACTACATTGTGACTACATTGTCAAAATCATACCATTTGTCTAGAAATCAAGGAAACTTAACCACCACGATCCCCATGACTGTTGTCGAAAAATGCCTTTCGTTTGATGAAGCACAAATTGTACCTTTTTGCATCATTTTTTAGATCTTTCTTTCGTCACTTTGCATCTAATACTGTTATTGGATGCTCATTCTTTGAAATAGGCAAGTACGTTTCTAGTACTATCAATATGTTTCATAATTTTCTCCTAACAAAGATATTTTTCTCCATTTAATATTAAAACGATTCTGAATAACAATAAATGGAAACACCCATTAAAATGTAAATATTTGTTTGTCATTTTGTACCGAAAATTATCATTGACTGAAAGCTCATTTATAATACTTAAGTGCATTCCACTATATGCTATCATTATCTTTTACTCATTATCACTATATATAGTTCAATCTGCATTTATAACTAAGATTTCAGGTCAACTTTCTGTTTTATTGTATTTTTTATTGTCTTGTTTTTTATTGTCATTATAACACCTCCAAAGTTTTAAGCTGACATATTTTATGTTTATGCTACATCTTCGTTATAAAACGTACAGTATAAAATGCACAGTAAGAAATAAAATAAAACCCAGCGAATGATACAAGAGAAGCCACTGCAAACTCTTCTAACAAAGCTATTTTTCTTCAATTAATATTAAAACCGTTCTGAATAACAATAAATGGAAAGACCCATTAAAATGTAAATATTTTTCTTACGTCACTTTACATCCGAAGCTATCATTGGCTGAGCGCTCATTTAAAATACGCGAATCTAATAAAATAAACGAATAAAGAGACGCAATCCACAAAGAGAGAGCGGGAAACGGGACCTTTGATTATTTAAATGAAGCATTTAAAATCTGATGTGACTGTAACAGCTTTTCCTTGATATAAATATTTTTGAAAAATGGACTCCTACTACAATCCAAGCTTAAGTATCTATTTAATGACGGTTACAAAAGAACAAAATAAATGACAAAATTTTTTTCTTACTATCAAATTAAGATTTTTATTTTTATGTCTTTTTGGGAAGGTATGAAAACGTAGGAAGAGTTGGAAAAACGAGGGAGTATTTTGTGGGGGCCGTATTCATAATGCATAGATTTTAATGGCCTGAAAATTAATTGAAAAATCGATATAGTGTCTCTGTGACGTAGGAATTCTCTTAATGAAAAAAAAATTGTTTATTGAAGAAAGAAATTGTTTTATTATTTTTATGAATTAGTCATGGGGTTCTTAAGGCGAATTTAAATTATAGAGTTGCTTTTTTTGAAGGTATAACTTAATGTAGTTTAGGGAAAAATAAAGTATGTTATTGTAAAGTTAGTGTTTTACTTACAATTATAACAATTCATGTATTTTGGTGAGCTGAAAATTTATTTAAGAATCAAATGCATTATTCTTGTAATGTAGAATGCATTTATGTAAAAAAAAATTTAATCTTAAATAATTTTTTTAACATTTTATCAATCATTTATGGGGTTTTAACACTAATTTAAAACTTAGTGCTGCTTTTTGAAAATAGTTTTTTTTATTTTTATGTTGTTCAGAAAAAATGTACGAATGCTATCTAAAACTTTAGTTTTCAAAATTATCATTTATGTATTTTGATTTGAGGAAAATAATTTTATGATTCAAATGTATTACTCCTATAATTTTTTTAAAGGATAAGTAGGCCAACTTTTCTGTTTCTAATGATCCAGTTACAAAACTTTAACCATAAATTTAAAGCATGTTTTTTAAAGTAAATTTTAAAACAATTCTATGCAACCAACAATCTATACACAACTATATAATGTCAATACAATTATATACAATTTAATACAGTTTTAGTGCAGTTATATAATTATTCGATATGTTCTTAAGTCTGTATTTAAGAGAATTTGTCTGTTAAGTCTTTAGTAAAATTTATTTTCATTTAAAATAAATAAAAATACGTAGAATCTTTTAATGATCTCCAAATAACTGATAAAAATACATTTATTAAAATCATTACGACATTTAAAAAAAAGAACTCCACAGAAAAAAATAATCTATGTCAGCAAAATGAGCGAATGTATTTGCTTTTAATTAAATGAAAATAGCAAATGATCAAGCAAATAATATATTAATAATATTTCTAATGTACGATATTTTACATGCATGGACACATTTACATTTTGTTACAAATCAGTTAAGTTAATCGATTAAAGCAATCCGTCTATCATCGCTCAATGAAAAGTTGTGCATTGTTTTATGAATGAATTCTCTTATGTAAGGAGTATTTTTTTATTTAAAAACATAAAATAGTCTGTATAAAATATATCTCTTGTGGAAAAAATTTGTTCGTATTAAAGTTGTGCAATCTGTACAAGATAATTTTAACTTTTTTCTTATTAAAACCAATTTAACTAAAGGTTGCCATGAATTTTTACGTATACATCACTTTTTCTTAAGGCTATTTCTCCGAAGGTTTCA